TATGAAACATTGTATTCATTGTGTATTTCATTTATGAAATAAAGATAGAAGATAACAATTTGAAATATATTGGAATATTCCAATTATTTTGTTATTTTTATTCTAAAAATAAAATATAAAGTTTTATGTTCGGATGAAATATATTATTTTCAGATTATTTTTTATTGAAGTTAATACTTTCAAATAACAATGAGACAATTCATATTTCTGACGAATTATAATATATCTAATATAAATTATTTCAAAAAAGATTATCTCAATTTTCTATAAAAAATTATTTTGATTTAATCTCTCTTCTAATACAAAATTAAAATTTGCGATTAAACATGCTTGCAAACAGAGAGATAGGATTGTTCGTTATTAAAAGTTTTCCATTCGAATATCTTCGATTTTATTCCTCTTTGAGTATTTCACCGCAATTTTATAGATTTTTTTTTTATCGAGAAATCGAAAAAAGAAATTGAACGCTAAAAGAAGAGAAACGTAGTGGACAGTTTTCACATCGGGATCAAGTGGAATCATTAATTTCGAAGCATCGAGCGAAATAAAAGTCTGGAGTTAAAAGCATTACGAGATGCTTGGGGAAAAATTTACAAAGGCACATTTTGTACTGTAGAAATTTATTTTAGGAATGGCTACATGCTATCGACAGTATAAAGTAATGATCACTTCAAAGAGAGCTTAATCCTTTTGATTCTTTTTCGCTAGTCTATTCGACTGTTCATCGATATTTCTTTCTATTTTTCCACTGATTTAATAATATATCTAATATCTGTATCTCTGTTATTTATTTTCTATTTGTAATTTCTTTTTCAATATATAATAATTCAATTTTTAAATATCATTGAATGATTATTATTTCTATTAACCTTATACACTATTGTTATTTTTTATGATTATTAGCATAATATAAAAAAGAAAAAATTTCAAGCTTGAAAAGAAAGAAAGAAAAAAAAGATAATTTCAGAATTTTTTGTGTTGGAATAAAACGAGACAAAGAATAGCGAGATTAAAATCTTTAAAAAGTGTGGGCATTGTTCGTTGTTGCTTGTTTTCCTGCTTTTATTAATCGTAATGTCGAAATAGGAAAGAAAAAAAAGAAGAAATAGTTTGGTATAAGTGGTTGTTTGAAAAGAGCACGAGAAAGGGAATGAATTCCTTTGTGCGGTTATTTAAAATTCTCGAAAATATGAAAATTGCACGTTCTCTCATAGAGTATTCTCTAAGACTATCGTAAAAAGGGAAACGAATATGCGATATTAAAGAAGTATGTAGCCACTTGAGGTGGAAATCGTGCATAAGATAAAATTGCGCAAACAGCTAAAAATATATTTTCATATGATAAAAAGCTCTACCTCTACCTTTAAGAAAAAAAAGAGATTTCTACAAATGAATTGAAATTAAGTTCATTACACATTTAAAATTTTCAAACACAATACTAATTACATAAAATATAAGAAAGATAAAAATTAAGCAAATAAAGCGTAAAGAATCCTAAAATCCAATAGTTTTTCTTTATAGCGGCAACTATAATTTATAATTTTCTGTTTAATATAACTAAAAAATCGTTGAAGAATATCGAATCCTTTTCGAAGCTAATTCCAAGAAAAATATAAATACTACAAATCAAAATAAAATAGACAGATAAATGAAATGACAAATCGAAATTCCCTTAGAACAAAGAAAAATTCCTCGTCGATCGTTCCAACGTCGTCTAAGATAAATCCTCGGGATCGCTGAAGATGGATCGCGATCTCATAGGGCAGAAAAGCGATTCCATAGGGCGGGCCACGTTCGTCTGCGGCTTTCGCCCTACGAATGCGGTATCTTTCACGTGTCCGATCTTTCCTCCATCCCCTTGGCACACTTGTAAAGAGCGTGTGGAGTTAATGAGACGGAAGAACGAGCGGCGCGATATTGCAAGTTTGAGAAATGGCCTCATAAAAGCGTTACACCGCCGTTGAAACTCGAGGCGAAGCATGGCCAAGGATTGAAACGTTCACGGGACAAAAAATCGCTGTCATGAGCTCCCAGAGACGTACGATCGCGCTTCGCGTAATTACACGTTGGTAATCTCGTCGAGGTTTACAACGTGTATTAAAAAACTAAAGGGGCGATGGTCGGGGATCCCGTAGCATTGGAAGTCGTTGATCCTTGCTTTTAGCTTTGGTGGGGAGAAAGTGATTTGTGAGTCGAGATGTGGTTTTTGCAATTTATGTCTAGGGAATTATTCAGGATATATGAGTATTGTATTCTGGACGAAGAAATTGTGAATAGATATTTAAAAGTAGTAGTTGAGAAATATTTGTTTCAATGGTGGAAAGTTAAAGTAGACTAATTTGTAATTGTGAGATGTGTTTTTTTTTTTACAATTCATGTTTAGAATATATGGGCATTATACACGTTTCTGGATGAAAAAATTATGAGGAAGAACTTGAACTTTTATAACTTGAGAAATATCAATGTTATTTTGTGGTGGAAAGTTTTAGAAATTGGAAACTTAATCTTAGTAAAATCCTTAAACGTAGAAATTCAAACTAAAAAATTTACATTGAATATCCAAAATTTAAACTTTTAAATCTTTTTTAAATCCTCGAATTCATAAATTTTAATCCAGAAACTTAAACTTCTGGCATTAAACGATTCCGTTCAATTTCAAATATCAAAATCAAAGGTATAACCACGAACTTTTCGACATTCGACAAAATGAAATCTTAATTGCACCAACCTGGATTATTTTCATCCCCTGGAAACTATTCTCCCGATAATCTTTCCAAAACTCCATTCGAAACTTGTTAACGACACGTTGTCTGCGCAAGGATCGCAAGTCGACAAAAGTCATCTCGTAATTTATTCCGACGTCGGCGCAATTAGATGTTCGACAGCAACGAAATTTACTTTTCTCCCGCATAAACGAAATTACCGTTTCGAGAGGCGTCGTGGAACGAGCGATATCCACGTTTCACCGCAACTTCGCCAACCTTTCGCGAAGCAACGGCAACAAGAGGGAGAGAGGGAGGGTAGAAGGGTAGAAGGATGGCGGATGATGTTCCTCGAAGAGCACTCGTCTGGATCCTATCGTGAATTATCAGGTTCGCTGGTTCGACCTCGATCTCCATCGGATCTCATCCTCCATAGCCGAAAACCCAGCAAATTTCGCACGTCTGCTCGCCCCTTTCATGTGGTCCACGCGAGAATTCCGCAAGCAATCAGAAAATTCCCTCGCATCTCCCCTGTTCCCTGCGCTCAATTAAGAGAGGGTCTATTATAAGTTGTGTAAAAGTTGCGAGCGTGGCTTTCGAGGTATTTGAATAGTCCTTTTAAATGGTTGGTTTCATGTTTCATGTATATTAATACGTTATTTACGTGTTTATTTAAAAATACGGAGTAGAGAAATGATACAATTTATAACGGAATGGAATAACGATTCACTTCTTATATATAAATATGATTGATTTTAATATTTTGAATATTGAAAAATGGAGATTGATTGAATTTAATTTTTTTGTGAAAATATTTTGTCGAGGGAAGATATAAAAAATGATGATGTACAGTATTGATATATTGATAAAATGGACAAAGAATTTTTTAAACATCTCTGTCTTATTTTTTTAATATTATTATAACGATGGAACGTATTATTAACAAAAGTTTTTCTATTTTCTTTTTTCATGCATTTCCCTTGGACCTTGGAATTTCATTGGTTATTTCTGACAACCTTGGTGATGATGGTGGTGATCGCAACAATGACACCTTTAACAATCCGCATGGTAACAACGGCACGCTGATTAACTCTGGTGATGGTGACCACGATAACACGGTGGCTTGTCGTACTGATGGTGACCACAATGCCTGGTACACCGTGGTGACGGTGACAACAATGACACGTTAATAAATCATGGTGATGGTGACCGCATTGGCATGCTAACAAACCACGCTCACTGTGGCCACACTAACGTTTTGTTGGACATCTTGTTGGACCAACGACTTAATCGCTCCTCGTAATGTATCCTTTAAACGCTTTTTAAATATGCCAATCGTGTTTCATTTCTTTAATTCTTTCTATCAATGTTTGTCAATCACCAATTTTTTTATCGTTGTGTTTATTTTTTAAATAAATTAATCTGATTACAATATCTTTAAAACTCATTCTTCATTGACTAACAATCTTCAATGAAATCTTATTATTCGTCTTCAAAATTTTCCGCATCTCGCCTATTCTTTATTAAACATCGTCGAAACACGATTCTTCCAAATATATCCTTAAAATTTCTTCCATAAATAATTTCAATACAAATCCTTTCCCATTATCTTTCATCGATGAAACATGGTAACGTGTGCGGTTCCCTACGCAAACTTGCCATCGAATTCCGCAAACGTGTTGTTCCTCCCGACTCTCGTGTATCTCGCGTGTAAACGAAACGACACCGCTTTCGCGGATGTCATCGATACATCGTCGCTCAACCGATCCTCGATTGATCCACTCGTTAATTACCGCGAATCCCCCGAAACTGATCACCGTTGCGGCGACACTGTTACGGGTCATCGATCGATTCACGTTTCTCCGCTTCCTTCCTTCCGGTTCTCCCTCCAAATTTCGCCTCTCTTCCGCATCAATCTATCTTTCTTGAATTTCTTCACTCGACACTTTCATCCCTCGCTCTATTTTTCTTTTTTCCTTTTCATTTATTTATCTATTTATTTTTATTGAAATTATATCGGGTAATATGCTCTTCTCTCTCGTTTCACGTTTATTTTTAATCTTCTTTTTGCTTCGTATTACGATGAACACACTTTAATATTCGATATTTGATCAAATGACAATTCAATAATATTTATCTTCGATCGAATTGTTTTTTTTTTTTTAATATTTTGCTTTCGATATTCATCTGCTTTCGCGAAATTTTTGCCAATTCAATTTTGTTATCGATCATGTTTTTGTAACGTTCTAAATTTCTGCTTGAATCTCGTAAATTGCGATTTTTAACACAACAGCCTTGTTATTAGGCACTTTGAAGACCTACCAGCGAGCAGCCTGCGACGAGGAGTCGATGACGCTCAAGTGTCCATTAGGTACTACCATCTCCATCGTTCTGGCTCAATATGGAAGAGCGGGACCAAATGGTACCGACAGATGCAATACCTATTCAGAACCATCGATGTATCTCGGGGACAGACAAACGAATCAGACTTGCATCTGGCCGCAATCGCTGCAGGTATGTGTCTAGAAAGCAATTTCTCAATAATTTACATATTCTTTTTCATGATCTTGATGAAAATATTATCTTTAACGAAGGGAAGACAATCTTTTCTTTATAATCTGTTTTAACAGATATGATAAATATATTGATATTGAAGAAAAAAAAAGAAATTTAATAGAATTCCATTTATATGAACTTGGCTGAGAAAAAGAAACTTTACTATTTATTTCGTAATTAATTGCAATTTTTTCAAAATCTTTTTTACATTATTACATCATATCCCTTTTAATTTAAAATGTATTATTATATTACATGAAAATACATTCACTATAAAAAACTTCGATATGAATTTATCTATTATATTTTTTCCATATTCGTGAAACTTCGCAAAGCACTAAGAGTAGAGACGCCGTAAAGAAAAGATTCGGTCTCTCGAAGTTGAAAGAGTTTCTTCGTGAAACTTTTTCCGCCATCTTATATTTATTAGATCCTTGCGAAATCCTGATTTCTAATTCAAGGTAGAAAGACGATTGCATTGACACTCAAGATCTTTTTCCAGAAGAAGGGATCAAAGCGAAAATAATCGTAAATCGAATCCACTTTGACCGGTTAACCATTTCAACCCTCGTAACTTGTACTTAACTCTCGTGGCCTTGCATCCTTGCAAAGATTTTCACCAAAAAGAGATCCTTTCAACCTTGAGATTTCATTTCAGATTTTAGTGACTTTGTATATCCTTTACAACTTATTTCTTCCCTCCTTTCGTTGATCGCTTTCTTCGATATATCGAGGATTTCTTAGATTGATTTCGTGACGAATTATACTTGGCTTAAGCGTTTTTCTTAGGTCTTGATGGTTTTTTAACGGTGGTGTGTTGTTGTGGGCAGGCAAAGAAGTGAATTTGAAGTCGAGGAGAGGAGGATAAAGAAATCGAGGACAGGAAACAAAAAAGTTGAAAAGAGGAGAAAAATCGAGGATTTGTAAATATCTTGACAAACGACAGAATAGGATATTCGTAAAACTGGTATGGGAGTAAAAATCTGTATAATTTTTTTAACAAAATGTATTTTGAAAAATAAACGCGGGAAGCACAATAATCCTAGATTTATTTTCTGCGAAGGATAAAATTTTAATCATTCCATTACTTTGTTTTCAACGAATAATATTTTTAAAAGAGTATCAACTTTATTAAACAATTTATCGTTTTTCTCGAATTTCATTATGCTTAAAATGATCTGTTGCAAAAGTATGAAGAAAATATGGTTGCAGCAGAAGATGAATCTTATTTTCAGGGAAAGTTTGTTACAATAAGTTAATATTGAAGAATGAACATCACGAAAGAATCTCGAGAATTCGACGTATAATTACTTCTTGTTATCTCGTTTTATGTCGTAAGCATTCCATTTTCAACAAGAGTCAACAACGTCTTGATCGCCTTGTTTACGGAAATGCGGAATAACTACTTTTAAAGTTTTTAAGATCATTCTATGACAGGAATACCATTTACCATTTTTAAATTGAATAATACCATTTACATTCATTTTAGATTCCACAACTTATATCTCGTCTTTCGAATAATAAACTATCTTTGCAAAGAATTTACTTGTAAGGATATATATTTATATTCCTCGCACTTCTCAAGATTAACGAAATAAATTTCTGTCGTACGTTACGTGCAAAATGCAAACATTTCGTGTTCGCGGGAAGGTTCGCATTTCAGGCTGCATTTTCTTCCATCTCGAGTAAGTTGGTCGGCAGCAAACTCGACGAAACAGCGGAGTGTCGTTTTCGGGTCAGTTGTCATTATCTTTTCGAACGTGTATTTTAAATGACGGCCATCTCGTTGCACCTCTTTCGTCCAATTTCACTCCGCTCTGTTTCACTCGCGACGAGACTCACGATTCCACGATTTCCCACTGAATTTCCACGGAAAACGAACCTCTAATTTCGACACCTTAATCGACCAATTTTCGTGAATCGAAACAAAATAAGAATCTTTCCAATTGTATAACCTTTATTTAATTATTCGATCAAAGCTAAATATGTTTTTATCTTTTATTTATTTATTTGTACGACTTGAACATATATCGAAATCAACGTAAAAAGTTCTTGATTTTGTTGGAAAGCAGTCGTAAAACGGTGAAAAATCCAACGAAATTTAAAATGGTTGTGTGTATCCATGACAATGTTGTTTTAAACAGGTATGAAAAAGTATATAAACTTATGGAAAACTTCATGATGATATAAATTATAAAATAAAAAGAAATTTCCATGATGCATATGTTGCATCATCAATCTTGAATGTATTAATTTGATATATTATGATATAATAAAATAAAATAAAAGATAAAATTGGAATTAAAGAAGAAATTTTGATACCAGATTATTTCGATTTGTTGGAGCAATCTCTTTTCGCTAGAATAATTTTGGATGGGAATTATAAAATTTTCGCGGTTATCCCATTATAAGGGCGTAATTTGTAGGTTGGTTAGGATAACAGAGATTAGCAAGACGAAACAGAACGCCAGGTTTTGCAGTCGCTTGCAAAATCCTGTTTGTTTCCGTGCAATTAACTGCAACGTGGAACGAATTTCGCGTGAGGGTTTGCGGCTGCATTCGATTTGCGATGTTGATTAGGGTAAATTATGCAGAGTATATTAGTAGCGTGTAATTATCGAAGGTTTGTCGACTTGATAATGATTTGCGTTAGATTTTAGAAAAAACTGCATCGATGTATCGTATATGTCATTCTTTTCGTTATAAGGTTAAAGAAGATAAATCCTTGAAGGAAAAACGAAATAGAAAGTAGAAAATATCTTTGTATATTCTTTTTTATATAATATATATTATATAGAATTAAAAAGTTTGTTAATTCGTATTATATATAATTTTCTTTTCGTCTTATTCACACACATACAATAGATAAGTTATCGATGAAACTACAATGAAAATTCATACTGTGATATTCAATGGTCAGGAAAGTGGAGGATTTCGTATTACACGTTTCCATTGCTCTGGAAACTAGGCATTGTGTGTGATTCTTACTTTAGTGGTGAAGAAACTAAATAAAATTGCTCCTTTTATTTTATCAATAATCTCTTTCTCTTTTGCACTTATCATTAAATATATTCTCCTTTTTTTTTTAAATATTTTCTCAAATTGTTATTTTCTTCATCAGAATATTATTATTTTCACTTAATCACTTTCAATATTATACTAATAAAAAATAATAGATATTATTTCATATATATCAGCTATCATTTTAATTTCTATAATTCTTCTTATGATAATCATCTCATTATTTATCATAAATTTTCAAAGAAGGCTAAATTCAAGGATTCTAAAAAAAACCATTAGCTATTCATCAAAAAAATAACGAATGAAACCATCCTAATTTATCATCATTTAACACCAACCTTAAATCCAAAATTTCCAAGTTATCAAAAATTTATGAATTTCATTTCAAAAGATATCATATAACGATATATCGGGAAAATATCAATTCACATGGTTATGCAGCTTTGCGCTGGAAACACGGAAACAATCTTTTCCTAGGCTTTCACCGCCACCCACTTAGTATAATGTGATCACTCCGAGGAACCACGATCAAGTTCATTTACGTTTTTCAACGTAAGCTTATCGGAAATGGAATATGAAAATGTTACGTAGCATGGTGGTAAGAGGAGGGTGCGGTGCTCGAACGCGTGGCACCGCGCCAAATACGCTCGTTATTCCGATCTTCCTGATAATATTTATTATTGCGGATCCAGGCAACTGCGGAAACATCGTTTAGATTTATCGAACCACCATCAGCGAAACAATTCCGTCGCTTTATTACAAACAAAAATTTCTTTTTCTCTCTTCTCATTGATTAAGAGCGATGATGATTCTCTTTTCTAGAGACGTTGGCGAACGTTAAACGGTGGGTAATATCAAGAAGAGGATTAAGAGTTGCAATTTCGAAGCGTTAAAAATCTTAACGGGATCGCGCAACCTTTAAAAATTAAAACTCTTAACTACACTTCGTGTAACTTTTTAAGATAATGAGATTTTATGGAAAATTATGTGATAACAAAGGGAAGAACTTTTGATTTTTTTTTTTTTTTCTTTGGAGTTAATCTTTGGTATTAACGTTGCATCAAGTGCATAAATTATGCTATTATGCTATTATTGAATTTTATCGAATGATCGTGTTTTGAGAAGGAAAATACTTTATTGAGGTATTTGCATGTTAATTTGAAATTTAGAACAAGATTTCTCCCCTTTGAACCTGTGATCGATTGAATCAAAGAGTTTTCCCAATCACCAACGTCATTACTTCATCGACTTCCGCTAAAACTTTAAATTCCTTAATTAAATCGGAATAATTTTCGACAACCCTTGTCCTTATTCCTATGTTTAATCTTGGTATAACAACCATCGACACGCTATTTCTACCAATTTTTCCAAGTCTCCTCGAGAAGAAGTTTCGCGTTTCCCAGTAAATGAGATTTGGCAAACTTTTAAAATTCTTAAGATAGATTGTGCTTCTTAACAACTTGAATTGTTTGATCAACTATAATCCTTCGTGAAGCGTTCTCACTCTTTAAAATAGAACAACTAATTCTATAATTGGACCAAACAACTTGAACCTTTTTCGAAAGATTAGTATTAATTTATTGAACGCGATTAATAAAATTTGCAACTATTAAATCAGAAGATCAGCGTCGTCATCAATATTCTTCAATGTGATCACTACACGTACATGTTTCTGATCTATAAAATAAAGCAAACGTTAAAAAAAATATTGGAAAGCACTTATCGATGCAAATTGGCTCCTTAACACTGTTTGGAAAATCGATTTAATTGGGATACCGATTGTCGAGGTCTTAAGATTCGACAGCGTGAAGATTAAGCCGTAATGATCGACTTCTTGTTGCCTCTGATTCCCTCGAGAGATCTCTTCGCCTGCCTTTTGAAGCGTCGACTCGTACTACTAGTTTCAAGTTGTGATCTTGTAAAATATTTGTTGGAAA